TGGAGACACCTAACATCTACAGCTGGTCTGACATTTTTCTTCTTTCCTCTGAAGGCCATTCCCCATAGCTTTTGGATTTACCAGTTCCCTGTGATGGGGAGTTGTGGTGTAGATCAGTGCCAAGGGTTCAGCAGGCAAGATAGGCTGGTGCAGGCTTTGCGGAGGTTTTGTCCAGTTATGTGATTCAAAGGGTTACCTAACGATCTTGTGCATTTACTAGAGTAGTTTTGAAAGACTGTTGAGGACATCGGCGCTGCCAGGTCCCTCCTGTGGTGTTACAGAAGTAGATGATAAATAGTGGGTAAGCCCAGGTGCACTTGTGACTGTGTTGCTGCCTCCAGCCTTTCAAGGATCTCCGATGAAGATGCTACAGCTCTGAGATGTTGCTGTGTGTCCCTGCAGGACTTAGCAGTGGGAGCTCTCTGCTCTCTCAACCAAGTGTCAGAGGCAGCAAAACATGGAACAGAGGGGCAACCAGCAATGTGGGTAAGGAGAGCTATAGGATTTGGCTTTTTCTGTGTTTTCCCTTTAAAAATTAACTACTTCTTTAAAAGCAGTCCATACAAAATTATCCCACGTGGCATAAGCAGAGGTGGCAGTTAATTATGGGCAATAGGACAGCTTTATATTAAGAAAGAAGTATTTGACGACCTAATGGGAGTTTTAGTGGTATCCTGAGGGAGTTTCTAGCTGGGATTTCATTCCAGACTACATAAGAGTCCATTTCTGTCCTAGCAAATTTCTTCTGTGTTTGCTTTGCTTTCAGTTCCTCTAATTCTTCTCATTCTCTTACTCTCCCCAAGCAGTATTAATCTGGCATTACACGTGCCCCGACAGAACACGAACACCTACATATTACCTATAGTGACTCTTGCTGTGTGGCTCACACACAGTGGTTGCTGCGTGCAATTTAGGCATGTTTCTACTTTTAGAATAAAGAAAGATATTTAGGATCATTGGACTTTAAAATAATTGAAAAGGTAAAAGAAGCCATCTAATGGAGGTGTAACACTGCTGGCTGGCTCTGTGCAGTCACAACAACCTTGCTGATTCAGAACACACCTGACTTATTCTACATAAAGTGAGAAGTAGTTGGACAATACAGCTCACTCAGTGGGAGACCTGAGGTTTCCTCCTATTTCACATAAGTACAGTCCAAAAATAATGCAAAACGCAAATATATTCCTGCTTTTTAACCCTTTTCCTCCTCATTTCAAGTCAAAAGAGCTTGGTGTTATGAGTACTGATTTTTTTTTCTCTTTCTGAGATAAAACACTTTATCTCAGAATATTCTTCTCCCTACTGATTTTCACTGCTTTTAAATCATGCACCAGATGTTAGTTAGTTTGTTTTCTTTTTGTCAGTTGTTTTCACAACGCTTCTATAACTCCATGGCATGTCATCAGACCTCTGCATGATGAAAGCTAAACCATGTCACTCCCTTCTTGACTGCACCCATGGTGAGCACCCACGTAGCACCTGCACGGGAAGGACTGGGAGCGACAACTCCAGGGCTTGCCATGGACTGAGTCTGTTAAGATCATAAACCGTGAGGATAATGACCCAAACTCATAGGTTCATTGTTAAAAATTGTACTGGTGTATTTACGTGTTCAAGCTGTGTCAGTCCCTACCTCCTACGTACAGTCTGTGTGTGGATGATCCCCCCTCTGCCAGTGGTCACCCTTATTTTTTCCCTTCTTTCAATGTTTTCTCTCCTGCACACACTGCATCACTGTTGATGCTCTCTTTCTGTCCTCTCTGTTGCCTGTCTTCATGTCATACAATGTGCAGGAGAGGCTACAATGTGGAAAATTTAGAAATTGCCATGATGGTGTTTACTCTTTTCATTTTGGCTGCGCATTTTCCACAGGCATTGTGGACTTACATGGAAGAGTTAGGGAGAATATGGGGACGTGGCAAGCACCATAAAAGAATGGCCCATGCGGTGTGCGATGGATGATGCTGACTATTCATTTTTAACAGAGCTGCAAGAATTCAAACACTTTTAATGAATATTCATATGAAACTGAAGGCTGTTTAACCCGGCTCTCACATCTGTCTGGTGGGAGCACTTCAGTGCTTATGTGTTGCTCGTATGACTACTTGCAAGGCATGAATTTTAAACCTGACTGCTCAGATAGTGATGGAAATCCAATTTGAAACAGTATACTTGGTTGTGAAATTTGCAATTCACTTTCTGTGAGTTAGCTATACAAATCATCTAATCAAGGAACACCACATGACCGAACTAAGCAACACAGTATGAATTTGCAAACATTTGCCATTCCCAAAAGATCTGTAAGCCAAGAGTTATTCACTGAAGAAATTCCCAAATAATATCAAATAAATAAGTTAGAAAATTTCATGAGCTCCACAGACAATGCATAAGCAGAAGGGCAAGTGAGATTTATGGCAAAAAGTACTTATTGAGCTTCTGAAGAAAACAGGGAAATTGTTTCGAAGCACAGTGAATCAATCTGATGCAGTTTGCTTCATTATTTGCTGTACAGTCACGGAGCAAAGGGAATGCTGAGAGACTTGGAGTCACTTCTGACAGGCTCTCAGATGAACGGATATTTGCTGTTGGCAGTTTTTGTAAGTGGCAAATTTGTCTGGAATAGTTTTGAAAGCAGATTTAGTTCTGGATCATGGGATTTACAATATGTCTTATTTTACTGTTGAAAATGCCTGAAATATTAACCTGCTCCTGCTACAAAATTTTCCCTTGCATTTTGCCTTATCCGGAGCTCTACGTTCAGCCTCATTCTCTGAGCACCACCATCTGTGTTTCCATTGCATCATTAGTACATTATCCTCACCCTTATTTGCAAGGCAGGGCTATTGCCCTGCCCATTTTGCAAAGAGGATGGGGACTTGCCCAAGTCCCTGAGAACCTGTGGCTGGGCACAGGGTGGATGCAGTCTCCCACCCCCTTGTGGTTTACCCCTTCAGCCCCTTCCCTCAGACAAGCACTGAAGTAAAACAAAGTAAAAGTCTTCAGGCCTCTGGACAAAACTGAGATGGAGAAGAAAAAGCAGATCCTTGATTTCCACATGCATTGCTCATTTCTGACACAGATTTAATCTCTCTGCATGATATCTCTTTGATCCCATACTGCAAACCACTAGAAAAAAATGATCAGGAAGAAAGTTTTCACTGTTATCATGTACTGAGTAGTGACACAGGTCAAAACTATTTTTTTCCCCAATTTGCAATGCAAAGTAATTCAGTTGACTGAAAAGTTGTTGCTTGGATCAAATGCAGAATACTTATGTTACATATCTTAAAAGGAACCCTTACCATTCCTCATCCAATATTGCTTCTCCTTGGCACAATCTGTGTTTACTTTGACTAAATGCATTTAGCACTTTTGTTGCTAAATTGTCATCAGTGTTTTGTTATTAAATGAATTATATCTTGACCTATTTACAATGTAGTATAATACACTTAAGTTCTCCTTAAAGGGAACATTCATTAGGATGAATAAATTCATTTTACTTCGTAAGTCCCTATTATATAGGAATTCTTTTTCTAATGAAGATTTAATGAAAACAATCAGTCTAACAGAATTCTCTAAGTTGTCAGCTTTTGACAACAGTAAAGTATGCTTAATGACACCTATATTAAATTAGATTTAAAATGCCATCATAACCTTAATTTTAAAATCTAGCGCAGCAAGTGATACCATACCTCTTACTGCAAGATATGACTCTCAGATTCTTTAAGTGCATTTTTAATAGCTCCTGTGAGAAGCATTTCCGCAAGCAGAACATTTTATTGTTACTAAATACCGCTCACTCTGAAGTCTCTCTGTTGTTTGGAAATGAAACTTTAATGCACAAGTCACAACAATTCATCAACACGGGGAACATCACACTCGGATCAAGCACACCAAATGATAAGGACTCTGCATATGCACGGACATAAGGTTTTCATTCATTAAGTTCCCACTTCTTATCTCGGTGAGGGTCATATGCAATGACAAAAATCCAAACTTGCAGCCCAGCACTGACCAGGACCCCATGCAAACCTCACTGCCCTGTTTTGCCTTGCAAATCTGACTCTTTGATGTGCAGACATTTTCTTGTCTAGCAATGCTAAACAGGCGCGTCATAAAAAAGTACATGAGGCTTCTAACTTTGCATATCACCTCTTGGACTTCTGGCTGGGAAGAAACAAGCTTTTTCAAGGGGAAGCTCTCCTGTTATAGTACTGAGTGTTCATTCCCCACTGAGTCCTCTCTCCTGATCCTTTCAGCATCCAGCTAAACATCGTTTATATCCTTCCCCACACTGCTGTTTCTCGGAGGGAGGGAGGGTGGCAGGGGGCTGGCGGTGGCACAGGAGGGAATTGTGCCTTTTTCTGTCTGAAACTACAATTCTCGTCCAGCAAAACAATGCCAACAGTGCAGAGGAAGCTTTGATTATGCAAAATGGATGGACACATCATGCTATTTTTTGCAATAGGTTATAACCTAAGGAGTCCCTCACCCGGAAAGTCCCTCCCGCCCCCCACCCCGGCTCTGTTTTCCCCTTTTCAAATGTCATCGGTGGCACTCTAGACACATTTTACATATTAATAGCGTGTCTCCCTCTTCTTACAGGCTCCACAGCTTTCCTCTTCCCCTTTTAATTCGGGGCATCCTCCCCACTTCCATCTCCCGTCTCGGAACCAGCCCATCTGGCTCCTTAGAAAAGGAGTAAAGTGTTTTCTGCATGACCTCTATGTATTTTACTCCGTGGGAAGAGTAACGTGGAATGCACACTCAGCAGGCAGCGAGATTTGAGCCAGTTTGTCCTCGAGGCATTTCTGCCATAAAACGCAGGACTATCAACAGTATTTCCCCCCTTGGCTCTCCCCCCCATCCCATCACCCCCTCCCCACCGCCGCCTCGCCGCTGCCGGCTGCACCTGGCTGTGCTCGGAAAGCCGGGGAGCAAAGCACAAACAATGGGCACCGAACAGCTACAGCTCCCTTTGTTTCCCATGCAAATCCTACCTCCAATAGTTGTCACATCTTCCTCCGAGGAGAAGCCTAATTATTAATAAACAGAGATCCAGCGGAATCCTCCAAACTGCCACCAGTTGTTAAGCGCTGTCATCGTTCTCTCCTGGTGCTTAAACCTTTTTGGACCATTAATGTCACAACCCCTGCTAACTCATAGCTTAGTACTCCCTGCTCAAAATGTCTGAAATAGTTTGGAAGGACAATAGGAATGACAGGCACACTAGACAGCCATGCTTGAAATTAGTTATCGCAAGCTGACTTAAGGCTGTTTCGTAGTGCTTTTAAGGCATGCACTCGGTGGGGTTTATTAACCTAGGCTAGACATGCCATTCCTGCTTTTATTCAGTGCTGTAATAGGATGGCTGCTAGAAATGCAGTGATAGGTCTAACCCCATTCATCCCTCCGTAGCTTTTTAAACCTCCCCGGGAGAGGAAATAGCTTCAGTCATCCTTAAACTTACTGAGGGTACTGTTTCTGCAGAGCAGGGTTTCACACATTGTTTTGAAACTAAGGAGAAAATCACTCCCGGGAATGGAAGGTGCTGTAGCTCTCACAGCTGATGTGAACGGCCAGATGAACGCGACAGCATCCGCCCCCACCGCAAGCTGAGGCTGTCGCAGGAGTTAGTGGAAGTAGCGATTGGAAGCTGAAAGTTCAGAAAACTCTGTAAGGCAGATGTGGCACAAAGCTGAATGAGCGGGACATAGGGACCGTACTGTGAATTGTATTTACAGAGTCACGGATGTACATTACACTCCCCAAAAAGCAAAATACAGTTTGCAGATAGCAAGGTCTTGCAATCTGAATTTGCAAGTGTACAGGACCTGCGATAAAGATGATCAGAAGAAACATGAGCGATGCTTGGCATTCGCAGTGCCTGTCATGTGGGGAAGAGAGGGGGTGCAGAGGATGCTGCTGGAGACGGCTGTTTTCAGTACAACCGTGCATAACTCCAGATCCCAGGTCAGAGATGTTGGTGCTCTGCTGAGATCTTCGAGCCTTTTTTTTCTTGTTGTCAGTTAATAATCAGCCCAGGTCAAGATGGATCAAGGCTTGTTAACATCTGCTGTCAGTTCAGTGTTGCTGATCTCCGTGTGGTCCCTAGTGGACAAATGTAAAAGCCACCAGCAGGACAGGTCTCTGCCAGCAGCAGTGGCACATGGGCTGAAGGACTGGAGAGGCAACCTAGTGCCAAGGCAGGCTGGGAGAGAGAAGGGGGGAGTTAGCACTTCTGCTGCTCGTTCAGCACCTGCCTGACTTTTTGGTACCACGCAGTTCACAGCCCTTGGCTTAAAATGAAAATACCATGCATGGAGACATCTCAGAAAGGAATGGCATTTAGAGAGATTAAGGAGGAAACCAGATCACAGTGAAAATCCAGCTGTGGCTGCCTCACACCATGGGAATGAAGGGGTTAAGGGAGCACTAATGGCAAATACGCATTAGGTTTTTGAATGACTGGGACCTGAGAGCTGGTTAAGGTGTGAACCTTCTCCTTTGAGAAACTCTGGTTTGTATTTGTGTTGGTCCTTTGTGCTGGTGACTCCTTGCAGGAGATGTGTCTGCTGCTCTGTGCTGAACCAGCTGGTCAATTCTGCCTTGTTCCTAGGGGGAAAGTGGCCACTTTAAAACCCTCTTTTTCCCACATCACTTTGTGCCACACCAGATGCCCACAATGCATGTCAGCAAGTGTGCTCAGCATGGGCTACTGGTCTCTCCTCCCTCTGAACTGGCCTTCAGGGAAACTACTGAAACATGCTTGTTGCTGGTGCAAGCAAGCCATAGATGGTGATGGGGACATCTGGGGCTACCACAAGCATGACATTTTCTCCCGACTCAACATTGCTCCTAACGGGGTGCCTCTGCACTCTGTGCTTCCCCATAACTGTACTTGCTGTCACTCTTGGACATCCTCCCTTCCCCTTTTCACCCCTTGCACCCAGGGCTCCAGTTTTGTTTCTTCGTTTACAGCGGGGCATTATTAGCACCTTAAGCTTCTCCCAGAATTGATGGGAGCAGGGCGCACTTCGCATTTTGTAGGCATGAATCTCAGAGTGGACCACTACATTCCATCTGCTAGCACAACTGCCAGAACAATCCCTGCTTTGTGAATAATTTAAAGAATTTTTTCGCTGCCACTTATCTAGCATTTTCATAAGCACTATATTCACCTTAAGGCAGAAAAATAAAGGGGAAAAAAGAAAAGTTCTCCTTGTCCTGAGCAATAGACTTCTGTCTCACTAAGGGGCTCACCCTGCATTTGATTTGTAAGGGGGATGACACAGCAGTTCAAGAGACATTAGAGAAATTCCCATTGGAGATACACAGGTCTAGGGGTGCTGACTTTGTTGATGATCTTTTGAGAGATTTTAATACTGAACTGAACACAACAGTGTTCAATGCCAGGTTAAATCAGGTGATCATTGCGACCCATGACCACAGTTCACCAGTTATATATGCTGAATACAAGGTGGCCCATAAAAAATGGATGATTATCCCCATTCCCTCCTCCCTTATGCATTGAATAAATTACCTTTGGACCTCCCTGCCATAGTAATCCCAAAGGCTTCAATCCTTTGCAGTAGGTTAAAGTCACCCAGACTTGGTGGTCAAGATGTGATAACTATCTGCTAGAGCGGTGCAATCAAAAGGACAAGGAGATGTATTTACATTGGGTGGTAACTGAAAGGGGAATAAAATGCTCATGGTGTAAGGCATAGGCCAACGGAGGATGATCAGAAAGATCTAGGGGCTGGTTAGTCCAAAATGGTTCCGTTTTAGGGAGATATACTGAGATAATCTCCCTTTCCTCAGGCATTTTCTAATCACCGAGCAGCAATGTCAGCTGCCTTCAGTGAATGGGACTCATGCGTACTCCCTACCCTTGCCATGGCTCTACTGTTGTTGCATTTTTCTGATGCACCAACCTGATCCTTGCTGGAAACAAGATACAGAGAGCAATGGAGCACTGATCTGATCAGGTATGGCAATTTTTCTGTCTTCCTGGACTGTATTCATGTTGCAAAGTAGGATTGCCCCGGCAAAGAGAGGGCTCACATGTTGCCCTCCATCAGCAAAATCCTATTGCCCTTCACAGGAGCTGAGATTGCTGCTCAGCTCTGCAGCAGTAGACCCTCTGAGAAAACCCACTGCTTGCAAAGGAGTTGCAACAATTTAAAACATCTCTGTTTCTGATCAGTATTTGCTTAGGAAATGGCCTAGGAGGATGAACGAGAGGAAGAATTCAGATTTGTAGTTTGCATGCTGACTGTAAGTCAAACAATATAATGAATGGAACAACTAATGCATAATTTCATTATGAGTCATCCTAATTATAACGAGAATTTGATAGATACATAACTAGAAAGTGTAACTATCTGTTACAAATACACATTTCTAATTGCACAGGGAAATACACAATATAATTAAAGCTGCAGGTTACACATACAATAACCGTTTCTTCCCCTGTGGGGACAAATTCTCTAGGAACAGTATGAATTTCTTTTGAAGTTGTATACCTATCAGACGGCATTCTTTCTACCCACTTGCTGAGTCTTTTTCAAACAGCAGCAGGGAATCTCACTAATCCATAAATACTTGGTGTGAATCATGTATTAAAGGAATTGCAGGAATGATCTGTCAATGGTTCTTCCGTGTTGGGTCCCTCTGTAGAGTGTCAGTGGTCACTGCAGTGTTAGTCTGGCAAAGCTACAGATATGATGTGCATGGTAGGTAGCGGGTTGTATTATGTATAATTACAGTGTAAATGAAAATTAGTCTTAATAAGGAAAAGGATCCTTCAAAAGTGGCCAAATTCTGTCACACACATCTAGATACTCTTGGGCTTTGTAGAGCTGGAATATTTTGCAAATGCCAGCTATTCCCTAGACAGGGTGAATGCAGCGTGGGGGAAGAGAAATTCCTAATGGTGATCATGGCTACATGCATTAATCCCACCTCTGCCTTAAATGCAAGAATTATCAAGAAAGCTGGTTGACATCAGTCCCTACATTTACAGCTCTGGCTGGTCTCCCTTCTTTTTCCTGAGGTAAAACAGGCAGCACCTGTGTATTCTACAACTTCAGAGTGTGATAGCTGCCACGCTGCCACAGGGAAACAGCGAGGCTGTCCTGGGTGACTATCTTCAGCATAAAGTCAGAAATCACTTGTTTACTGATGGGAAATGCAACCCTGTGTTTGGTCATAGTCTTGCAGTCTCTCTCATGCTGAGAATCACAGGACACCCAAGTGTCCTGGAAATCTGTTCATTTAACTGAGTTATATTACACTGACTAGCTAATCACTTCCACATGCTGCTTGATTGTCGTCCTTTATACGCCAACTCTGTCTTTTTCTTGCATAGCTCTTTTTTGAGCCACTTGCCTAGGAGAAAATAACTACATCTGGAGTGTTGTTAAATGACCCAGAAGTTGCTGCTTTGCAGGCTGACAGTATTTGATGCAAATAGATGGCTTCTTGCTGTGAAAATCTTCTTGGTTGACAACCCATTGGGTACTTTTGATGATAGTTGTCTGAGGAGTTAAAACACAGGCTCCTCTTTGCATATTCACACTATCCTTCTTACAGAACTGCCGGTATTAAATTCTCCCCGCGCAGTTTCAGCAGAGGCCTTTCCACTCCCCATTTGTTCAACAGCTGCTGGTGCGCATTGCTCCTTCTCTTTGCCTTCAGCTTTTGCCATCTGCCATCATTAAGTTGCCCAGGTGTCGGAAATCTTCTTGCTCTTCTCTTGTAAACATTATTCTGCCTTCTTCTTCACTAACTCAACCTTCATTTATATAGAGGCTGATAGATCAGGCTAGCTGTTCTCAAAACATCTGCTACATTTCATACTTTATGGGGGCGGATGGGGAACAGAGTACATACACTTGCTGGCAAAAAATAAAGACTGGTTAACCCTTCCTTCACTTTCCATCTCCAAGAGCTTGCTGTTTTCGCGCACTTCTAGATGTGCCAGTTAATTAATACTTGCCAGTTGGGATGTTACCTAGGGCAAATATATCATAGAGCGCTGCTAATTTTTAGAAACATCAACGCTTACACATATTGCAACAATGTCCAGTCCCCAGTGCTACTGAGGAACAGCAGATGGGACATACCTAAGACAGTTATCAGAAAAAGACATCAGAATAAACCTTTTTCCTTCTTTAGACTGCTTCTGCTGGTGCAAACAGGGGCTATTCCACTGATCTTGGTATGTTTTCTGCCCAGATACAGGTCAGGCACCCTTTTATGATTACCTGGAGGGGAAATCCAGACTCAAAGAGCATCTTTCACAATGATGGGTAGTGTAAACTATTGAATTCTTTTGGCAGAGATGATGAAATTAAATGATTTCTGGTGTGCTCAATCCTCCTCAGTAAATCACTGAAGATTGATTGTAAGTTTGAACAGCAACAAAACAGAATCCAACAAAACATGCTGCTT